TATGTATGTATGTGTGCATGTGTATGCATTACCAGGGTCACAAAGTCGCTTGCTTTTCTTCCGAAGCTCCGATGTTGATGGGATCCCGTCTTTCTTTTCACCACTGCCACAAGATAAGGGGTAGGGTTCAGGGTTTAGGGTTTAGGGTTTAGGGTCCTCAACTTGAAAGCTGCCCAGCCTTACAGAAACTCCCCGCTGATCCGTCGGAAGCCAAGAAGCTCCAACTGGGTGGCCGAGGTATCCATGTGGCCCATCCTGCGCGTGGGGGATTTGGCGCCTTTAGGGTTTGGGGCCTGGCGTTCTGAAGCCGCGTCTGGTAGTGGTCAAGGCAAGATTACGAGTGGAAGCTGAAGGGCTGAGGCCAGGAAACTTCAAACAGAAGCCCCATGACCAGAACTTTGGGGTTTTGATGCCTTCTCAAGAGCTGCAAAAAAGCCTCAGGCAACTAAAACGCTGCTACTTACTGCTTCTTGGCCGACGCGATACCAATGGGTTTCCACGCCGCATCGATCTACAAAACGCGAATTGTAAACTTTGAAAGAGCCCTTTTTTACACAGGCTTGATTGAAGCTCGCCCGGCCAAGTTCCCTCGCAGGAAAGAGCCCTAAACCCTAAACCCTGCAAAACGGCACAGGAAAGCAGCCCCTATGGGACCCTGCTTCTACCCCTCAAAGCTGCGGCAGAGGCGCAGCCGGCCCTCGGCTTCCGCGAGGCGGAATCGTAGCGCCTCCGAGGCGCTACGGCTCAGGGCTCTTAAGGGGGTTTAGGGCGGTTTAGGTCTAGATCTGAGAAGGCCGTTGCAAAAAAAGGCGGTTTAGGGTTTAGGGTTGAGAGCCAGTGGCGAAAAAAAAGGTGTAAGGTTTAGGGTGGTTTTAAGACTTTTTTGTATTTTTTTTGAATGCCTTTTTGGGGTTTAGGACACAACGGGACCCCCAAGCATTCAGAAACTCCATATCAAACCCGATAAAACCGCATCACACCCTCTGCAAGACTCTAGTTACTACTCGGATGTTCATGGGTAGTTATATAAGTGGGCTTATAAGCAGGGTAACTATAGTTATAACCCATATTAGGGGACTTATAACCCCATTTATAACTACCCATGAACCTCCAAACCCTAAACCCTAAACCCTAAACCCCAGGGAACCCTTTAAAGGAACCCTTAAAGGAACCTCTTATAACCCCATTTATAACTACCCATGAACCTCCCAGTAGGGCCCCTGACCATCTATGCAGCCGAGGATAGCTTGCCATGGCCTCGCGGCCGGGGGAAGGAACCGAATCGCCTCGAAGGTGCATTTTTTGTGGTTTTACCCGGCTTATGGGCTTATCTTAAACCCCTAGACTAAAGCCTAAACCGCTTTCTGGAGCTGTTCGGTGAGTTGTTCATTGTTTCGCGTTGTTTTTGTGTTGTTTTGCAGGTCTCTCAGGTTTCGTAGGGTTTCATGGGGTTTTGTCGGGCACCGGCCGCTTTAAAGGTTTTGGGTTTCACTGTTTCAATGCTTCCAGTACGCGGTTTAGTAGCTTCGGTTACGACAGGGTGGGGAATAGGGTTTAGGAGTTGGGATTTTTTTCGGGGGGTTTTTCATCCAGCACCCTGCGATTACCCCCAGTGAGATCGTGTGCAGCTGCCTTCACGGACCCACTCAGAAAGGGGGGGCCCGACCTTGGAAAACGGAGCTTGCATGACGGTGGCACACATCCAAGAAAACAGCGCCCCGCACCTTCGAAAATCAGTATAGGGGCCCCGAAAGGGAAACGAAAGGTGCTCATCATCACCATCATCATCATCATGGTCACCATAAAGAAAATTGCAAACTACAACAGCGGACCTAGCCAAGCCAGGAGCTTCAGCTCAGGCTGTGAGCCCGAAATGCGCCACAGTGTCGCAGTAGCACGACGATTGGTACCCCAGAAACAGGCACCGCGCTGTGGCGAGAGAGAACACAAGATGTGTGCGGGAATGCAGTGGGAGCGTGATGGGAGGCGGCAGAAACAGGAGTCGCAGCCAAAAACTATGTGGCACTGTGCGGCCCAGGCACGATTTTGGGAGATTGGGCACAAACCGGACTGTGGTGGGAAGACTATGCACGCCCCAAAGTACGGCGCTGTAGCGGGAGCATGATTTCGATTTTTGTGGAAATTCCTGAGCCTGAAGCGAATAGTGTAGCGTGTGCCGGCTGAGGGAACACCACCCAAATCCCGGTCACACTTTTCAGCGAATACTAGCAGGATTTCTGCATGTCACAAGCAGCATTAACGAAGAGCACCGTCCACCTGGAATTGCCGATGCATCGCGCCTTCGGTTTCCGTAAGGATGCCAACCTCCACCATTTCAGGCGGATGCCGCCAGGCCTGCAACAAGGGGTCTTCGAGGCTTCAAGCCAGTCCGGGTTCGAGAGTCTTTCTGCAATTCCTCATAAGCACCACAATACTGGAAGACTATACCCCCCAACGCCCACACTCTTCCAAGTTCACCAGGGTAAAACTCAGCCCTGGTTCTGCCGTGCAGTGTGTATGCCACTCTATGGGTACTCAAGCTTTAAGGTGCCGAAGAACACGGTGGTAACAAGTCTGCTTGGAGGTTCATGGGTAGCTAGTTATAAGTAGGCTTATAAGTAAGGTAACTATAGTTATAACCCACATTAGGGGACTTATAACCCCACTTAGAACTACCCATGAACCTCCAAGTGAACTTACACCCCTCAAGTCGATCTGAATTTCGCCAACGACAAGCGGGCTTGGAGCCTTTTTTACGCTCTCACAATTAGGAGAAGCCGGGGGAGGTTCCAGAAAGGTTTTGAGTCGGCGCGTTTCGGCAGCTGTGGCATGTGCTTGCACTCGGATAGCAGATTACACTCAGGTC